CACACACACACACACACACACACACACACACACACACACACACACACATGTTTGTTATCATATCTTTGTGGTGACTCTCCATTCATTTCAATGGGGAAAACTCTAATCATAACATGATGACCTTAACCCCTACCCAGCCCTAACCTTAACCATGAGTGACCAAACAAAATACAAACCATTTTGCATTTTTAGCTTTTGACTGCATTCATGGATTTTCATAAAACTGAGTTTCCCCTTGTGGGGACCAGAAAAATTTGGTTCCCACAATGCAATATATATATCTCCACACACACACACATGCGCACGCGCGCACACACACACACATCCACTCATCCACACACAAAACCTCAGAGACACACACAGTCCAGATATACCCCCCCGCCCCCCCATGACTGACTTATAATTACCCTCCCAGAGGCATCCAGGCACCACACCGGACTCCCCCTTCCAAACGCGGTCCCTATTGGGTGTGGCTCCTGGGGCCCAGGGTCCGCGGAGCCCCAGCAGGACACTCACCCATACATTTCAGAGAGGCAGAACAGGCACCCGAGTTGCCCCAGAGTTGTTGTTTCAGCTCTCATAACTGTGATTGTTATAATTACCCTCCTGGTGGTGATGTCTATTTTGGGCACCCCCCCTTGGAAGTGACACGTTGGGTAACATATGGCTCCATGTGCCTTCGTGGAACAGGGGTGAGGGGCAGATATTTTGGATGTTCACAAGGGCCTCCTGATGGTTATTCTTGTCCTGGTCTCTGGTTAGGGGTTATGCATCTTACCATAGGAACACATACACCCACACCTTACACACCTTACACACCTTACACACCTTACACACCTTATACACCTTACAGGGGAAACATGGTTATGATTTTGGGAGTGGCACCTTAACCACAGGGCAAGAACTGAAAGGAGGACAGGCCAGGGAATAAAGAAGTGAAAGAGCAAGGTGACATAACAGGGGCATAGGGGGTGGGGTGAATGGACAACAAGCACAATGGCCGCTTGACAGCACAGCACGAAAGCAGGAAAATTAAATTAACAAAAGATGGATGAAAGTACAGTATGAACAGCCCTGGGAGACTGAGGACACTTGGAGACACTTCCTGTCTTGGCCCCTTCAGACCCCCCACCAGATGTCAGACAGATTTTTGGGAACAACTACGGCAACAGTCGGATAAGAGAGCGAAACACAGGAAGAGAGGAGATTAGGGAGATATGTGATGGTAACGAGGACTAAATTCTGGATGTCAAAGTGAAGACGCAGAGTCCATAAAGACACAGCAGCTGGGACCTGGAGACAACTCAGAGACAGGGACAAACAGACATAGACACAGTGACAAGGACACAGAGACAGGGACAAACACCTGATTTGGCGATCAGACATGCAGCAGCCAGAACAGCCAATGAGAGGGTAGGCAGCCATCAGAGAAGAGATTAGACAGTCTTCCTGCCAGCTCATGCTGGTTCTGTGGGGTGGGTACTGTGCGTAATGTGGTTCAGGGTGTTCCCTAGAACTCTAAAGAAAGCTGCCCACAGGCTGTCGGCTGTGTGCACACCCTGCCATGCTGGCCAGCTGCGGGCCACCTCCTCCCCAGAGCTGGGCGGGGCTCCTCTAACTACTCATTTATTACACACACCAGTTTCGAAATGCTGCTTTATGCAGTTTCTCTCCTGCTGTGGGTTACCAGCATTAACCTTCAGAAGGGGTGCAGAGAGGGTGGAGAAAGCCGGATCGCCGTGGGATCAGGCTCAGAAAGGCCCAGTCTGTGCCGTCCCAGATTGAAACCAGCCCCCTTTAATTCTGTGCATTTCCACTTAACATTCTCTTACACGCTCTCCACACTTTTACACACAGCTACCATGTGTTCTGAATGTTCTCTATATGTTAAATCCACATTGTCCTAACAATGACTGACTGATGATGAGGAATCACCTGTTAAAGAGGCCCAGCTAAAGCCTTGATTTACATATCTTCTGATTCCATTTTCACGGCGCAGAACTTCCCAGGGTTGTTGCCTGAGGTGCGTGAGGGACCAGCACTTCGATTTCCACACCATGCTGTGCTGCCCCCTGTGTGAACCCACGACCCCTGCCCTCTGGATGATGTCATCAAGTCACCCACCCCCCAGTCATTCTAGAATCACACACACCCCTGTTTCTCTGTCATGGAGTGTGTGTGTGTGTGTCTGCCATTCAGAAGTAGTCATTTATGTATCACAAAATTACCAGCTCTGCAGTTTTTCTGTTCAATTCAGTTAATCTCTGTTCAATTTATTTGTATATAATGCCATTTTCATCCAGAGCTCCCTCAAAAGGTTTTAACAAAATATCACAGGCTGTGAGGAAAGGGAGGACAGGACACAAGAGCTTCTGTGGCATTTATAGACAAAAATCCCTGGGAGTCCATGTCCAACAAGCTGATCAAACCCACTGTGTACAGTAAGTGTGTCCGGATTAGTCTGTACGGACTCTTATGAGTGGAACGGTGGCCTTGTGTTCGGTTTGTGGTGCCCCTGCATCTACGGACAGATTGAAAAGGGATTTTCAACTAGAAACAGACAGGGATGGTACAAGACACGTCTGGGTATGCACCAAAGTGAGTGTTATGAACACTATTAGTGGTACGAGAAAATAACTAGTCCTACAGCTGCTTTGTGAAATAACACACGCACTTTCCTCTCTGGCTGCTCGCACACAGCCGATCCTGAAAAGGAAATCGGATTTCTCTTTTTTCCAACCCCAGTGGTTTGGCTGAAATGTTAAACGATGTGTATCGACAAAGAGCTGAATCCATTAGGCTGACAGTCCCCTGGTACCGACTGCTCTCACTGTGTGGAGGGGGAGGAGGGGGAGCTAATGGAGGGGGGGCATATGATCAAGTCATCCAGCCACTCTAGTCATTCTGGGGTATTGGGGGGGGGGCAGCCTGAAGTGTGTATGTGATTTTATGCTTTATTGAATAGCAATGTAGTAATCAAACTTCCATCAGGAAAAAAATAACTGTTACAGAAGGGGAAGCTCCCAGGACACATGTATGTTTGTATGTGGGTATGTTTATACACATGTATGTTTGTATGTGTGTATGTTTGTACACATGTATGTTTGTATGTGGATGTGTGTTTGTATATTTGCATGTTAGAATGTGGGTGTGTTTTTGTACATGTATATGTTTGTATATAAGTGTGTGTTTGTACATGTATGTTTCTGACTGTGTTTCTCTACATGTTTGTATTTGTATGTATGTAGAACAGTATAGAGGTGTGTGTATACTATGGTGTAAACAGTGTAAAAAGCTCACAAGGAATCTTTAGACAGTGCCAGGAACTGGTCAGCTCTTCTTGAGATCCCAGTGCACCTCCATGTACACCTCCTGGGGACTGGATCACACTGCGCAGGCTAGAGTAGCAGTGTGGCCTGCAGAGCTCATCCCTGTGCAGATCTGATAAACTGCAAAGCTGACTCCAGGACCTGCTGTTGGAGATAACCACCACATAAGGAGATACACCTGCTCTTCTGATGTGTACTGTGATGGACCAGACGTGATTAGCTCAGGTCAAGACCAAGACTTTTTTTCAACCAAACAGTTGAGTATAAAGAGTCACAGACACAGAGTATTCTACTGGTTGGTTGAAACAAAATCTAGGTTTGGATTTTTACTTTCTGGATCTGAATTATCCACTTCTGTGATGGACATAGGTTGGGCATCACACAAACCAGACCTGGCTGGGAGAGCAAGAGAGCAAAGATATAGCATGATTCTCTTCAGAATAAAGAACATCACCCAGAATTTCCCAGCTAAATTGGGCAAAAGATAGAGTGTCGCTCCTAAATGCATTTAAAATTCCCAGACTCTCCTTGATCCCCCAGATGGGTAAACCACACATATGCGCCTCCCACTGTCACTACAGCAACGGTTATAAACAGGAGCTTGAGCCGGAAGTCCAAGCAGAGCCAAGCTTTAGGCTTGAGGGAGGGCGGTTTGGAGCAGTAGGTGCTCATCTAAATCAGGAGACAGTATTACAAGGTGGTTTGGAATTGGGGGGGCAGGGTTTTGACTGAAGGTTAGGGTTCCAGTTAGGGTAAGAGTTCCTAAGATTGTCAAATAATCCTTCCTGGTGGACAGTGACTAATATCAATTAATAGTTCAGCTAATTCATGGTTTCAAAATCCTGAACAATGAATTTATTTGACATTAATTCATGATGCGGAAAGCTAATCTGTTTGCCTTATTTGAGGGGTACTGTTAAATAAACTAGCC